CCCGACCCTCCAAGTACGGCTTAGGGTTTAGGGCTCCGGGCTCTAGGGTTTAGGCTTGGGTTTAGAGCTTAGGGCTTTAGGGTTTAGAGCTTCAGGGTTTGGAGTCTTGAAGGGGTTTCGGAGTGCAGGATCGTAAGGTTCCGGGTTTGGTGTGTAGGGTTTAGAGTTCCAGGTGTGTATTTCGGACTTAGGGTTTGGAGTTTAGGCATTCGGGTTGAGCATTTAGGGAGTAGTGCTTTTTAGGGTTCCCGAACAGAACTATAGCATGCAGCCTACTACACCGCTCCTGTCTGCGCTGATACCCCAAGACCCCAAACTGGTGCGTTGCATATCGGAAAGTGCTCTGCTTTTAGGACTAGAAGAGCCCGGAAGTAGGGTTTAGGGCCTCTTGGGACCCATCCGCACCGAATAGTGGTGGTCGCCGCCTCCTTTCAAGTCAGATTCAATACACCCAAACCCTGAACAGGAAAGAAGGTCTGGGGGGGTGGTCAGGCTGAATCACTAGCATTACGCCACGGTCTTGGAAGCCGATTTCATGGCTCCTTTAGGTAAGTCTCTTCGAATAAAAGGGTACATTTGTTGCAGCTCCTTGTATTCAGTATCTACTCTTTCGATTTTGAGTCCTAGAACCATCAACCCTTAAACCCTAAACCCTCAACATCCTCTTGGGTGGGGGGTGTCCAACTCTGCAACGTTACGCGAAAAGATCACTGACCTGCAAGTGTTGTTGCTTACTCGTGAGCTCAGAACAAATGTTTTGACTAGGGTTTGGGGCTCAGGGCTTAAGGCTTAGGATTTAGGGCTTAAGGGTTTAGGGTTTAGGGTTCTGGGGGGTATACTATACCAAGTAAGATAGGGGCTATAAGGGAATATCATCTTTGATTCTCAGACCCCTATACTGCTGGGACCCTCGTGCCGTTGGGGTGTCGGCGGTACATCGAGGCGTCCTGCCAAGAAGTCAGCCCCATCTAAAGGGTTTAGGATTTAGGGTTTAGGGTTTAGGGTAAACTGTCCATACCTATAAGTTGAACGCCCCTAAACCCTAAACCCTAAACCTCTGAACCCGAAAACCCTAAGCTCGAAGACCCTAAACTCGATCGAAAACCCTTGACTCGAAAACCTCATGCTCGAGACCCTAAACCGTAAACCCTGCGTGAAGTTCGCCAAAGCGCTGATCCTGAATAAGCTTTCCCACATCCATCGACCCTGGGTTCTGGAAGCATCGGTGTGGCATGGGTTCAGGGGATTGGAATTACAGTTTAGGGTTTAGGGTTTTAGGCTTTAGTCTAGGGTTCAAGATTTAGGATTGTGTTTAGCCTAGAAGCTAAGATGTAGCCCTAAACCCTAAACCCTAAACCGTAGGGCTTGTATTCAGGGCTTAAGGCCTAAGCGAGCACCGTGGAACTCGAATCCTGCACCCCCAGCCTTATGGTTTAGGGTTTAGGGTTTAGGGTTTTAGGGTTCAGGATTTAGGTTTAGGGTTTAGGGTTTAGGGTTTAGGGTTTAGGGTTTAGGGTTTAGGGTTTAGGGCCTACATTGACCGTCAGCTGAAGAAAGTCAAAGCCCCCTGTAGGGTTTAGGGCTTGGGGTTTAGAGCCTAGCCCCATGCGGGCGCTATAAGACTTCGAACAAGGGTTACAAGGCTCTGGCTCGATGAGTATGGGCTTTAGAGTTCTGAGTTTTAGGCTGTAGACGTTGGGCAGTTTAGGCTTTGTGGGTTTTGGATGACTGAGACTTTGGATGGTCTTAGGCCGTAGTATCGGTGACGATCCTAAGTTACTCCAAGCACCCTAAGTTGACAGCCCTAAACAAAAAACTACCCAACAAGCACTTACTATAGGGGCCTTAATAATTGCCTGTATTTTTTTTTGGGAGGGGGGCTCCATATTGAAATTATAGTATAGTATATATACCCAAAGATTAAGGCCCCCTACAGTGAACCCTAAACCCTAAACCCTAAACCCTAAACCCTAAACCCTAAACCCTAAACCCTAAACCCTAAACCCTACCCTAAACCCTAAACCCTAAACCGTAAACAACAGCAAAGTGTGCGCCAGGTGCAGCCTTGGAGTCGGGCTTGTCCTCTGAATCTCAGGCAGCCGAGGAAGAACTCCTCTATCTCAACGGAGCCGCCGCCATCGCCTTGGGTCTGTTGAGGGGTTCAGGGTTTAGGGTTTAGGGTTTAGGGCTTCTTTTCCCGCTTGGGTTCAACAGTCTGCATAAAGTGCAACTGCAAAGTCCATTTTAAATCCTAGCATGCTGAACACCTACAACCCTCAGCCCTGAATCTCTAAACTTAAACCCGACGGGAGCCAAGTCACTGTCCAGCAGCTTAAAGAACCTGGGCTGTTCTCCGTAAGCAATGTGATGTCCATTTCTTATGCCTGCTTAAGACTATGTGTGAACATATATATATATATATATATACATATATATATATACATTACTATACCGCAACGTAAATTCAAACTATGTTGAACTATGTTGTTCTGTGCTAGGTTACTAGGTTCCAGAATATACTTATATACTAGACACTGCTGCTGTCTACTCTACTCTACTCTACTCTACTCTACTCTAGTCTACCCTACCCTACTCTACGCTGCTCCACTTTACCCTACTCTATCTATTGTGCTCTACTCTACTCGGATCTACTTTCTTCTACTCGAACTAGGATAAGTTGACACACAGACAACAACAAAAAACTAACAGGCCTAGGAGCCCCCAAGCGTCGTCCACGTCAAGGCCCAAGGATTCAAAATACACCCGCACCTCTGGAGCGTCGATCTTCTCCTGCGCAAAAAGTGGGTTTCAGAATTTAGGGTGTGTGATTTAGCGGTTCGGGTTTAAGGTGAATGATTTAGGGTTTCAGGCTTAGGGGTGTAGGAAAAACTACGTATGGGATTTGTGTCAATCTTCCCCAGTGACAGACTAGGCGAGCCCATTAAAGCCTCTGAACAAGTTTGTGATTTGGCATCCCAGTGGCCCATCTAGCAGCTAGCAGAATCTGGTTCCCTGTTGAGGCTCTATTAACAATGATCATGTTTAATCTCTACTGGGCTTCCTTCTAGTATAACAAAAATGTAACATTGTAGCCAAGAAGGACCCAGGAATGGCTTGCGGGCTTAGAACAAGGGGTCAGGGACTTACATAGAGCTCAGGGGATCAGAATCTGGGGCTTGAAGTTTCAGCTTTAGTGTTTTGGCATTTAGGCATTGGCTTTGGAACAAAGGGTGCTTAACAGCTAGAACAAGGTTTTGGGGTATATTGATTGAAGAACCCTCTGGAGTACAGTGGTAACTATTCCGGCCGCTTTAATACGCTCTAAGAAAAAGTTGCGACAAAGGCACACAGAAAGATAGACAGCCTGCTTCTTCTGCCGGACAAATACGCGAAGCCCCTCGACTAAAGAGTCTTCCTCAAGCCGCAGACCATCGAGAGTTTGCGACATGTTGTTGGATATACTTGAACGAACCCAAGGACTCACAACAAAAAACAGGAAGACACCTCCACTGTGGAACAAGATCGCCCCAGAAGTGGAGGTCCCTAGACTCTAAACCCTGACGCTCTATCTTTCTTAGCTAAGGGGGTATTGGAAATCCGGAACCCTAAACCCTAAACCCTGGAGTCTTTGGTTTACCCAGTGCCGGGCGGCCGTGTTCGGCTCTAGAACAAAGCAGGGCAATCTAGGGGCCTGAATAATTAGAATAGGGTTTTGGGGGGTTCCTTTAAAGGGTTCCCTAAAGGGTTCTATAAGGGCTACTATAAGGGTCTAGGGTGTAGGCCTTAATCATTAGAATAGGGTTTTGGGCTATTTCATAGTGTATATCTACTAAGGAACTCCTTTACAGAATAAATGTACTAAGGAACTCTCCTTTCTAGGAAAAGTATACTAAGGAACCCTAAGGAATAATGTTGCTAGTTAGTTAGGCTTCTATATAAACTAGTCATTCTGGGATCCTCGAAGTTTTTGTCTGAAAGCCAAACCCACGGCTTCGGGTTTAGGGTTTAGGGCCCTAGAAGCCAACCCTGGCCCCTGGAAGCCCTACGCCCTACATAAACCTAAAATCTTTCACCCTAAACCCTAAACCCTAAATTTAGGGCTTAGGGTTTAGAGTTACACCCTAAACCCTAAACCCTAAATTTAGGGTTTAGGGTTTAGAGTTTAGGGTTTAGGGTCCCCGAACCACTGGAGGCGGCCTCAAACATGGCGAAGGTGATGAGGCCGGTATCTTCTGCACCCAGTTCACCTAAGGGTTTAGGGTTTAGGGTTTAGGGTTTAATGTTTAGGGTTTAGGGTTTAGGGTTTAGTGTTTAGCCGGTATCTCCTGCGCCCAATCCACAATCCACCTAGGTCCCCAAGCAACCCCTTAATCATAGGGGTACCATTGTTTCCTAATGAGCAAGGAGACCCCAAATCAAAAGGAGATCCCACAACGAAAAGAGCAAAAAGCTACTTCCCTAAACCCAGAACCCTGGGGAACCGAGTTGCTGAACAGGGCTTTGATCTTGCGCAGGTGCACCTCCTGCAGGAAAAAGGATGCAGCGGCTTAGGGTTTAGGGTTTAGGGTTCAGGGTTTAGGGTTTAGGGCCAGGGTTCAGGGCTTTAGGGGTTTAGGGTTTAGGTCTTAGGGTTTAGGGATCAGGGTTAGAACTTATTAAATGGAGGGTCGGCTCGTAGGGTTTAGGGCTTTCTTGAAATAGGCAGGATTGAAAAAATTAGGATCCCCTGATAGCCCCTTTATAGTCAACTCATAAAGACGATGTGCCCCAAACCCTAGTCGAATGATCAGGGCTACTGTTTGACGAAGGTCTAGCTGCAACGATGCAGGTGGAGCTATTCCTCGTAGTGTTCCTCTAAACCCTAAACCCTAAACCCCTAAACCCTGAACCCCTCAACCCTAAACTCTAAACCCCTAAACCCCTAAACCCGAAACCCTAAACCCTAAACCCTGAACCCTGAACCCTGAACCCTAAACCCCTAAACCCCAAACCCCTAAACAAACCCTAAACCCTGAACCCCAAACCCTAAACCCCTAAACCCCTAAACCCTAAACCCTAAACCCCTCGACCCTAAACCCTGAACCCCTAAACCCCTAAACCCTAAACCACCTCGACCTCAGGCCTTCGGATGGGCTGGCGGATCGCAGGCTCATACCAAGGCTTTGGGTTTCCTAAACCCCAAACCCCAAACCTTAAACCCCAAACCCTAAACCCCAAACCCCAAACCTTAACCCCCTAAACCCTAAACCCCAAACCCCAGACCCAACCGAAGAATCCTGCCTTGTTCTCCAGCATTGACTGCCTGGGCTTGGAAGTAACCAGGGAGAAAAAAGTATAGACTTTTATTTCATAATGGTTCCTTTAAGGAACAGGTCTACCCTAAACCCTAAACCCTAAACCCTAAACCCTAGTATTTTACTCCAAAGCCCAGGTGCAGCATATTAAAATGATCGCTCTGGGCGCTCTCGATGGCACCTCTGGAGCTTCTGCAAGCGGGGCGTTTAGGGTTTAGGGTTTGGGGTTGAGGGGTTTGGGGTTTTGGGGTAAGGGTTCGGGGTTTAGGGTTTGGGGTTTAGGGTTTAGGGTTTAGGGGTTTAGGGTTTAATGTTTAGAGTTTAGGGTTTAGGGTTTGGGGTTTAGGGGTTTGGGGTTTTGGGGTTGGGGTTTAGGGTTTAGGGTTTAGGGTTTAGGGTTTAGGGGTTAGGGTTTAGGGGCTAAGGTTGAACCCATGGCCCCTAACACGGGCCCTCAGGGGATTCCAGGGTCCCTTAAGGGTATA